GAGGTGACCGCGGTGCTGCCGTTTGCTCCCGCAGGGGTGGTGAACACGGTGGCCAGGCTGGCCAAGAGCTGCACCCTGCGCCTCACTGCGGACAGGCTGTACTTCATCCTGTCGGATAAAGTGGCGAACGGAGGGGTCAGCGTGTGGTGCGAGCTGTGCCAGGTGAGTCGGGCCGAGGACTGATCGGTGGCAGGGGCGAGGGACTGCATTCACAGGGTGGCTTTGGCTGGGTGTTGTGGGGTTTCGGTGGAGGGTTTTGTTGTTGTTGTTGTTGTGCTTTTTCTGTGCTTGCAGTGGGCCTTCATCCTGGTGCCGCCTGTATCAGTTCCTGCAGACGACATCACGTGGAGGCAGGCTTCCTGCTGTGGCTGTTTGGTCCTACGCTTAAGATCCCTAACGTGAAACCTGCTTTTTTTTTTTATTTTCGGTTTGCTTTATTTTCAGGGGAATTTCTTTGATGAGTTCCAGATGGAAGGAGTAGCTGCAGAGCACAATGAAATCTATTTGGAGCTGGTGCCTGAGAACCTGTCGAGAGCGTTAAAAACAGCCCAGAATGCTAAGACTGTGAAGATCAAGCTGACTAACAAACACTGTCCCTGTCTCACAGTAGCTGTGGAGCTCGTAAGTCCAAGTATGCTTTCGTTGTCATTAAGTAAAAACACTTTAGAACCACATGACAAGGCAGAGCAAGAATGGCAGTAGCATGCTTTCAGTACCCTTTTCTAATGTCCTTGTGAGCTGATACCTTTCTTCTTTTCTTGAGAACATTGAAATCATTCCAGGGTGATTGTGTTCTCCTTGACACTTATCAGTGCAGGAGGCTTCAGTGTAGTGTTTGGCTTTTGGTTTTGTTTTTGCTTTTTCTACTGGTCTATTCCAAACGACTGTCTTCTGACATCTCCCGTGTTAGCGTCTCTGAACCGTGTAACTCTCTGCATAGCTCACAGGCGCCATTGACTGATGCCTCACAAGCCCTTCCTTATGCAAAAGGGAAATCCAAAGCAGAGCATCTGGACGTGCTAGTATTTCCCAGAGTGGGGTTGAAAATCTTGGCTTCAGAATTGAAGTCATGTTTTTAACTGCAAGAACGTTTTCTCTCTCACTCAAGCCGACCTTGTCAAGCAGCAGTCGAATTGTGACGCATGACATTCCAGTGGGTGTTATTCCCAGAAGATTATGGAACGACTTCAGAGAGCCCAGTGTGCCGGACTTTGACGTAAGCAACTGTTTTTATGGTCCCTGCTGACTGTGGAAGTTCTGAGGGGATGGTAGTACAAGAGTACGCTGCCAGTGGGCTGGGGGGAAGAGTTGGAAAGGGAAGGGCTGGAGCAGGTTGGGAGGTGGCTTCCACCATGACAAGGCGCTGTTAAAATATACCGGTTACCTGCTGTTGGTAGGAGGAGTGGGGGAAGGAAGGAGGAAGGGACTTTTATGGCAGGAGTATCTTGAAAACACAGATGTGTCTGTGCATGTTTCATACAGTTCATCTCTTTAGGTGTTTTTCCATATGATCCAAATATTCTCTGTCAGAAATTGATGGCTCACCTAGCAGAGTTAAATGAAAGTATATTTCCTCCTGGTTTTCATCTATGCTCTATCCGGTGTTGACTTTTTGTAGAGCCATGAAGGAAGGTCTTAGTGACAACATGCTCTGGTTTGAGGTTATAGACGTCATATACTTCCATGGCTAAGAGCATTTCATTCTCAAGACATGTGGTGCAGCAGAGGCTTGGATGCCTTTTGTTCTGTCATGTCAGACTGACCCTGGTGCCATTCCAAAGCTGAATGCAGTTGCATGGGAATGCATATTCTCTTTCCTCATCGACTGGAGTGATGTTAACTGCTCAGTTACGTAGATAAGGGTACATGTGGGAACTTGATCTGCAGAAGCTATCTGTTTTGTATTTTGGGAGAGCTCTTCTAGCACAGACGGGATGAAAGAGTAGAAGGATGAATAACTTGCAACGAGTCTTTTGATATTTGAAGTGCTTGCTAGAGCAATGTTCCAGTAGTACAATGGGGAAAGCAGATCTTCTGTTCAAGGGTGATTTGCTGATTTGATTTAAATAGTGTGGTCCTTGCACTCAGTGAGTAGCAGATGAGTCCAAAATAAGGACAGAGTTGAAGGGAGACTAAGCATTGCATCCCCTTGTGAAACGGTTATGTGAATGCGGTTCTTGTGTCTTTTCAGGTCAGTATTTACCTACCAGCGTTAAAAACGATGAAGAGTGTGGTGGAGAGAATGAAGAACCTCAGCAATTGCATTGTAAGTTAAGCCAGGTCTTGTATCTAAAGAGCTTCAAGTGTGCGTCCTTGTAGCATCTTTCCCTGTTGCCCGAACTGGTGACCCCATATTGCATCTTGTAAGTGATGTGTTTGGGCCAGGTCACCCATTGAACTGAAGTCATCTGAGGACTGTGCAAGGGCTGAAGGGGAAGATGGCATTTATTTCAGGATGGACACTGAAGAGCTTGTCTTGGGCTTCCCAGAACATCATGCTCTTTGTACTGAGTCTTTGGAAGAAAGTGGTATTGTGCTGCTACAGGCAGCTTTCCTTCAGCTGATAGAGGAAACAGGTCCTGCAGGAAGGTGACTGAAGGCTTTCCAGGTGGTTTTGTTACACAGCTGCCTGTGTGGTGAGTCTTATGTGAGATTTGTGTCAGGGAACTTCTGGTGCACTGGAGCCAGGCTTTGGAGGCAGTCCCCCTAACAGCTCATGACTGTCAGCTCGTGCTTTATGCTCTAACAGAGTGGGTCTCCAGGCCACCATGGTTTTCTGGAGCATTTGGGGGCCTCGCATTGAAAGAAGCCCTCTGCCATTGCTCCCGGGGAGTGGGGTGGTGGTAGTGCTTGCAGTCACAAGAACTGACAGGCCTTAAATAAACAAGTAGTTGTGAAATTTTGGACTAGCTTAGTTGTATGCTGTTCACATCAATTTTGATAAACAAAAGTTTTCCACATACTGTGAATCCTGATGCTGAGCAAGTCTCAGTCTTACAAGGCTTGGAAGAGTTGAGAGGATAACACTGGCTTTCTGGCAGTTTTGCAGTCAGCCATCATACTGTAATTGTAAAAGTAACCCCAAATCTTTTCTCCTTTGTAAACCTCTTAGGGGGTTTAGTTTTTCTTCTCCTTCCCTTGCTTCTCCCAAGTCTTTGGTGGACCTGCTTACATACCCACAACTAAGCACAATGCATAACTGCTTTGTTTCCAGAGTTGAGAATCTCTTCTCGCACAGGATAGTTGTGTGGTGGAGTTAATTTTGGTGTGCAACAACACTCAGAAGAGGTAGCATATTGGTGCATGGTATAAGTGTTCCTGAGTTCCTTACCTCCTCCTCCAAAGTACATGGATAGTAAAAGTAAATAAATAAAGTCTCTGTGAAACAGCTTTGATTGCACTGAGGGAGGATGCAGAGTGAAATTAAGGAGTCTGCTTTTCTCCAGATTTTGCGTTCAGTGATGTGAGAATGATTGTCTGTGCTGTTCTTTCATTGCTTTGGTCATTCGGGGGCGGAGACAAAAGGTGCTTTTTTCTTGCATGTTTTCCTGTTTTCCAAGAACGAGTATATCAAGTGTGACAGTTAAACGTTTGCATTATCTGCACCCTGCTAGTGAACTTGGTCAGGATCAGTACTGCAAAAAGGGGCTTAGAAATTCTCTTCAATAGTATTATGGAATTTTGTGGGAGCATTCATCTGCAGGGATCCTGCATTGGCTAGGAAATTCTGCTTGTGAGAATCAGGCTTTCTAAAGTTGAGAAGACTTCTAATCACCGGAAATAAAGGCTTTAGATGTGTTGTAGGAATCTTCTGATTTGCCTGTCATTGGTGGAAGACAGTCAAGACAGTCTCCTTCTGCTTGGAAACTTTGTCAGGATGGAGTTTGAAGTCTTTCAACACTTCTCCAGGACTTCTATGAGTCCAAAGTCCTGTTTGGAGTTGCTGCTGTGGTGCAGCTGTTGGCTGTTTTCAGGTTTTGCAGAGAAGCACTGCAACTGCAGATGAACCACTGCTGCATCCAGTTTTCTATGTATGTGTTGTGGGCTTTGTGTGTGCCCATTTCTGTTTACGAAAAAGCTGAAGGGAAATGCAGCAATCTTCCAGTCTTCCTTGTTTCGGTTTCCTATTTCTAAAGCTTTTTCCTCAGCACATGAAAGTCTCAAAGCTGGTACTTGTTCTGCAGGTACTAGAGAGGAATTGGATTTCTTTCTTTCTGTAATTTCAGGGAGGTTGGTCTAGGGTCCTTCAGCTGAGTATGGTGAGAAATGCATTTTGTGGCTGAACATCTGAAGGTTTGAACCCTGTTTTAAAAAGTGCAGCTGAACGATCAGCTCACTGAAGCATTTCTGGAAGCTTGTGTTTGAACTAAGCTGTAGCTAATTCCTCTGTACTTCTCAAGTGCAAAAGCAGCTTGCCTAAAATTGAGATTGCTTATATTGCAGGTGATTGAAGCAAATTTGAGTGGAGAAATGAACTTGAAAATAGAAACAGACTTAGTATCTGTAACAACACATTTTAAAGACTTAGGAAATCCTCCCTGGGGTAAGTTGTCATATTCACTACCTTCCGTGTTTGTCTGGTCTTATTATTAGATGTGCTGCTGATTTCAATACACACCTTCTGCTAGTACTTAATTACAAAATGGCATTGGTGCTTTGAAGTCTTCAGATGGGATCCAGAAAAAAAAGTAGCCAGTGGCTGTTTGGTGTTTGTGGGGGAGTCTCTTCCAGTATCCTTTCCTTTGTAGAAAACTGGCTTTCTTTTCCTTGCACTGCTGTTGATTTAAAAAAAAAAACAACCCATTTCACAGGATCGCAGAATGGTTGCAGTTGGAAAGGACCTCTGGAGATCATTTAGTCCAACCCACCTGCTCAGGCAAGGTCACCTAGAGCAGGTTGCCCAGGACAGTGTCCAGGCAGTTTTTGAGTATCTCCAAGGATGGAGACTTCACATTTCAGTATCACTGATTGTCAGCTGTGTCCTTATGAATGTTGAAACCCCTTTTGAGCCTTGGCTAAGTGTCCTGTTTTTGTACTTGTAGCATCAGATGATGAATGTCAAAGCTCTGCTCAAGACAGAGACCTGGAAAGCATGGCTGAGGCACGCATAGACATCAAGAAGCTGCTGCAGCTGCTTGCGGGACAGCAAGTCAATCCCACAAAAGCTTTGTGCAGTAAGTTCAACAGCTCTACTTGTAAACTATAGTCAAGGAGGTGTCTGTTTGCCATATTTATAGTCTTAGCACAACAGCATAGCTTCCCTCTGACAGTTTGAAACTTGGCTATTTTTACTGTGCCTGAGAACTTTGAGTATTTCTGTATTTAGGTAGTGAGCTTCAGGCCTTAGGAGTTTGGAAAAAAACAAAACTTAAAAAATTAAGCCTAGCCCTTTAGAAAGTATCATGTTGAATACCCAGACTGACTAATCATGGAGGTCTTCACGTTTTCTTTGTTTCTGAAGTTCAACTGTTGTATTTGGGAGAGGTTTTGGTTTTGGAAAGTCTTAAAACAAAGTTGTGATAGGGAACTGACCGGCTCTCAGGTGTCACATGTCCTGACTTGCTCAGGTGCTTTCTTACATTTCCAACTGAATTGATTCTAATACCCAAGTGCATTTTATACGGCCAATGTTGCTACGCACAGAGAGAAACAAATACATATTATTCCTAAGAAAAGTCTGTATAGGATTTTGTATTCTCTTTTGATAATGCTGTATGCTTCTGCCAAGAACTTCTGCCCTCCTAAGAAAGCCTCTGCATTATGTTCTAATGCAAACTCTTAAGAATTTTCCGGGGAAGATTTAAATCATAGAGATAGCATTATAAGCATATACATTACACACTTCCTTTTTGCCGTCAGCTTTCGTGGACACTCGGGGACTTCCATGTTAAGGATGATATCTCTAGTAAACCTATCAGGAGTGGTAGAAGCCTTGCATTCTTACGGTGGCATTCTGTAGAAGATGTCACTTAAATTATTTGCATCTTCCTTTAGACTGGGTTTGTCTTTTTCTCCCTCCAGATATTGTAAGTAAAAGGATTGTCCACTTCATCTTGCTCCATGAGGACGTTTCACTTCAGTATTTCATTCCGGCACTTGCATGAATGCTCTTGCATCTCAGTGGTTTTTCCAGTCCGAGGCCTTTTCCACAAAGTCTGAGACAAGTATGAGTCGCTGGAGCACTCTCATGCGATACACTGTTGGATGCAGGCATCAGCTGGTCATTATATCTATTTTTATGAAGTTATCCAAAATACTTTCTCATGAAGAAGACCATTTTTGTGAAGAGTTGCTCCTTTGAGAGAGATGCAGCATTGAGGAGCTGGCATATCTGAGTGTTATGGAGAGAAGAACTTTTTGAAATCTGTATGTGCTTTTAGTATGCTTCAAGCTATGGGAAAGGCAATGTAATATTTTTTCCTCTCCAACAAACATAAAGGCAGAATTGAACTCAAGAGTTGGTGCTGGATGTATTCGGTATCGGACAACACAGCTCCAAGTTAAAGGATCCGTAAGCAAGCTATTGTATCTATGTAGGGCAGGATAGCATTGTGCAGAGCTGGCAGGTTGGTATTTTTCAGGTGAAGGGAGCAGTTAGTCTTGGTGTGCTTGCAAATACAAACAGCCAGAGAAGGCTGGAGGAGAGGCAGTGACCTGGCAATGTTACCCTTCTTTGCCTTTTCCACCATTATGCAAACTTCCTGCCATGGTTTATATAAGGGTTGGCAGGGTATTCCTGCCAGCCCACAGCATTGGTCTAAACTCCATCATCCTCCAGGCTTGTGTATCACAGTAGGTGCTGTTTTATGTCTCGGGTACAGAAGAGAATAATACTTGAGCCTACTACCTGTCTGTGTAACAGCCTATCTATCCATTTGGGCTGTTTTCTTAAAGAATGAGGAAGGTAAAGAGGTGAATCGCTTGGTTCTTATATTTATATCTTGGGGAATGAGGCTAGCATCAGAGTTCTTAGCTGCTAAATTTTGCAGGTTTTGCAGATAACCTGAAACGCATCTGTCAAGTGTGGAGATAGTCAAATGGTCTGTGCTAGAGATGTAGCAAGAGGTGTGTTGTGTTCAGAACCAACTAACTGTTCATGTTGTTAATGCAACTCAAGAGTGAACGTCTTTTGCTGTACTGTATTACTGCCCTGATCCTCAGTTCCTTGTACCCCAATGTTCCAAGTCTTTTAAAACAAAAAAACAAAACAAAAAAACCCCGAAACTCTGGGTGCTTCTCAGCTAGCTGCTAGAAGTAACATCCCATGAGATGAGACCACTATTCTAGCCTGCTTGCTTAGACTTGTTCAGGTAACTGTCTGATCTGCTACTTTTTTCCATCCTGTCTCTGCCCAACCTCTGTGTCCAGATGTGTCACAGCATGCTCTGTTTTCTTTTCTTTCCCCTTTTTGAAAAACTGTTGTGGAATGGGCAGTCTGCCCCGGCATCTTACTTCTGCCCTCTGAACACCAAATGAGAACAAGATAGGCTCTAAAGGAGTACTACAGAGAATTAAATGTGCCGTAGGTAGCTGAAACGAAAAAATTGTGTTTGTGTCTAAACAGCTAAGTTCTTTAAAAGTTTTGCTGGTGTAAGACTAAGGATTGCTTGTCCCAGAACTGCACTTTAGGCCTACTGTAACTGGAAATAGTATAGGCTCTGCAGCTTTCAAATGAAGTCTCTCTGTCGTTGCAGGTGCCTAACTCCTCCTGGGAGTTAGGAACTTAGGGAAATTGTAGTGTCTTATGATGCTTAAAACAGTCTAAGGCTTTATTTCTGTTTTGAAAAAGTATTCTCACACCCTGTGCTCAAAGCGAGCATGCCCTTGTGCTGTAGACTGCACCAGAATAGGGAGCTGATCTTCATTAAAACTAACCATTTCTTACTCCACCTGTTCAGGAAAGAAGCTTATTTTTCTTTCTTTTATGCTAACTAACAAAGTCCCTAAATAGAAAGCATCTTCCAAATCCTGTTTCCGTAACCAACTACAACTGCTCCTGAAATCTGTATGTGATGAAAATCATTGTAAATCAAGTTAATGGATTTGTGTGGTAGGAGTTATATGGTAAATATTCCTGGCTTGTCTCCTGAAGATGGAGGAAAAACTGTCAGCTTATCTAATATATTGTACAATGTCTGCTCCATGAAAGTGGGCTTTGAAATCTGGATTTTCTCCTTTGGAAAACACACATTTCTTATCACCTGATGGAAATGGCTTTTTCTCATGTGGCATAAGAACCAAAAAATAACATTCAGATTACTCCATCAGCTGCGTTGGCTCTACAATTGCTGTTTTTAACAAGTGCTCACAATCCACAGTTGCGAGAAAATGTTTTTTAAAATAAAAAGGTAGGAGTAGTACTGGTATGGGTCAGCAATATGGTGTAAATATGCAGTGAGATGTCCGATTCATATTCTTGAGGTGAGGAGGCTGGACAGATGAGCAGAGGTGCTCTTCCAGCCCCCAGTGCTTTCCTGCCCTTCCCATGAAAATACAGCACAAGGTCTGGAATCTTCAACCCTCTTACCCAGTTGAAGCATACGGTGTTGATCAGAGGGAAAATAACGCTTAAATCTGCTGTCATCTGAATGTAGCTGTCAAGGTGCCGAGGGCACTAACAGCCCTGATCAGCCTCGCTGGGGGACTCCCTCCTGCCTGTGGGCTAGGGACACTGAGCTCACACCAGGGCACCCCATCCTGCCCTGAGCTATGTCATAGGTGGGCCTGGACCCACGCCCCGTTCCTGAATTGATATTTAGGTTTTGTGGATTGACCTTGGACCTGGCTTGTTCCCTTACCTTGCTGTGGCAAGTGGCTGTGGCTACCCTCTGCTCCTTGCTACCCTTCCTGCCTGGAGCAGCGCCACTCTTGCTTCTCCCTGCCTCCAGTAAAGAGAAAAACCATTTCTCACTGACAGCCCTAGCTGTTTTTTTATGGCCAACTTTTTTTTTTTTTTTAAGGTGGAAATTTCTTCTCCTGCCTTAAGCAGCGCTAATTTTGTTTGCACCAAGACGAAACTTAGAGTTAAGGCCACTGGATTTTGAAATAACTCCTAGATCATCAAGCTTTGCTCCAACACTCTTCTGCTAATGTGTTTTTAATCTGTTCATCCTCATTCTGAAGAGCAGCAAATGATTTAATCAAAAGCAGAATTTGGTTGTGGTTTATCTATGGTATATATTTCATGATTGTGTGGTGGTCTGAAAGGAGAAAGTAAGTAATGCTTGCAACTGGTTCTATGTGAAAAACTGCTTTCTTGTAGCTGTGTGCAGAACTCCCTGTGAGGGCCTTTGAGGCTGCCAGGTAAGTGGGATTAGCTGGCTAGTTCTGAGACTTCCCCAGGGAGCCAGCTGGTGGCAGGTCTCTTGTCCTGCCTCATCGCCTTTCCTCCTGCTACATGCTCACAAGTGTATGTATCTTCTTCAACAGAGTTACTTTATTTCACTGTGACCATAGATATTTTATGATGTATTAATTACAACCTACTGTCTACAAGGTACAGTGGATGAAAGACTTCTATGGTTAGAGTGGGGTGAGACTGAAGTCTGTGATATTTTTGGTTTGATCCTATCTAAAATTTTGGGCAGAACAATCAACTCTCCTTGTTGAGTCAATGGGATACCAGCTCCCAAAAGTCTGCAGGCAGAGAGATCTGCTTTTTAGGTAAATGTTACTTCATGAGAACATTGTTTGCATAAAAAGCATACACATAAGAAATCCCTACGAAAAACTACTGACTGGGTAGACATGAGATTCAAACTCAGAGAGAAAAGAGGGGGAAGGGGGTATTATTTTTTCCCCTCTGTTATTAAGGGATTTAAATTCAGAACCAGAAGTAGGCTGCTCCTTTTACAGGGTCACTGGGCCTGTGGAAATCTCAGGTGTAAGCATTCATTTCACTGATGACTCTGCACCTCGTTCTGTCTCCAGAAGGGGTAGGAGAGGTTTTTCCTCTGTGTCTTTATTAGGAATGTTTGTTTGAATGCATGGGATGTTCAGCTTCGGGGTTTTCAGGATGAGTGTTTTTGCTTTGTCAGGAAAGAAAACGAATATAGGTATGGTATTACTGAGTGCCACGTTAAGGAAGGCGTTACTACTTGTCTTGCCTGGAGGTCATGGGATACTGAGTATCAGACAATGGTTTGGAGTCCTTAGCATTATGTTCTTGGTAACTGATTTCACAAGACTTCTAGCTCAAATGGCAAGTCTTGAAAGTGGAAAATTTGACATATTTGATATTTGTATTTTGCATGAAATATTGCAGAGTTAGGTTTCTGGATAAGTTTCCATCTTTTTCACCTTACGTTTCATTTGAAATACAAATGAAGTAGGAAGTGGGCTTTTAGCAGTTGTGTAATCTGTAAGTGAAGCTTTTAGAACTGGTGAGAGATCCTGGGTACTGTCTTGGAACTGTTCCTTTTTTGGGGTGGGAGAGGGGGAGGTGATAGTGCATATCAAGTATAGTATCAGTCTGACATGGAGCTATAAAGACAGATTAATTGTGGCTTAAAGATTACTGCTTTGTGTATTATAAAAACCTAAAGGGCGTGAAGGATGGGGTTCATGTATGGGAGTGTATGGGGTTTTTTGTTATTGTTCATTCATTTTCCAAATAATCTGCAAAAAGCCCAGAGGCTTGAAATGAGAATGCAGAGAGAAAGGACTAGCATCTGCCAGTCTAAATCACTGAGTTTAACTTTAGGTCCCTAACTTTGGAGAGACGTATGATTGGAATAGTCTGTTTGTCAAATACAGTAAGTAGTAGGTGGTGACTGATGTTCTGAAAAGTTGGTTCAAAAGAGACTGTCTGCTCACCCCTGACCAACAGCAGCTGCTCTCCACTTTCCCAGTGTTCTGTCTTGAGTTTGTGTGGTGTTGAACTTCTCTTTTGTAACACCTGAGCTAGCAGATTCCTTCATTGCTCTTGCAGAACTACATCCATGCACTCTTTCTTGGTTAATACCCAGGTGTGAGAGGATGAAGATAGGCCCTGAGAGAGGGAAGTTGCTGTACCCCTGTGCTAACT